ATCGCCGTGGAGGCACTTGTGAGCTGAGAGGAGAGTTATTCTGAGTAATCGCCTGAAACGCCGCTCTATTCGGCGGCGGAGGTGGCTGCGAGAACTTAGGCTTGTTCTGGGAATAAGGAAGCTCTTGTTCATCGCTTTCCAAGCCCCTTAGAGGTAGAGGTTGTACTGTCGGCAGTTTCTGCTTTATCGACGGGATAATAACGTGTTTCATCTCCGGTGACCTAGAATCTGCCGTTCCGTTAGCCGCCGTTGAACCAAACTTCGCCCTCGGAGAAGTTCTCTTCGAATGAGGAACTGATCCAGAGGAATAGCCATTACTGTTGCCTGACCGGTGAAACACCGTGTAGTAACCGTCATCGCTACTAATCGCAGATCCGTGCGGCGTGTAAAACGCCGTGTCACGGCATTCCTCGCCGGAAGATGATGTCGAAGGAGACAAAGCCGACGGTGAGTTATCAGACGGTTGCGGTTTAGTTAACGGTGGAAGCGGTTGAAGTTCCGGACTCGGTCGATATCGATCCGATCTCTTAACCGACGAATTCAATTTCCGGTACGGAGACGAATTAACCTGTACACCACTAGTTCCGCCATTAGACTCGCTCGCCGATTCACGGCTAGGTTCAACGGTTCCCATATAGAGAAATGTAGACGACGAAGTAGTCGGTGGTCTCGGATCTTCCTGGAATCTTCGAGAACCGTTACCATCGCCTCCTCCACTAACTAGCTTCTGAGTCTCACTCGCGTGCTTCGATTTATGCCGATACAAGAAGAAAGCAAGAGCAGAAAGCATACCTAGCGTAACAATCCCAACGGAAATGACGATCGCAACTTTTTTCCCAGGTTTCGTCGCTTGAGTAGTAGCAGTAGGAATCGGTAATCCGCCATTGACGGCGGAAGAAACAGGAGGTGGAGGAGGAAGAGGAGGAGGATACTGATTCTGTTGTTCAGGCGTAGAAGGATTCTCCGGGAAAAATGGTTGATCGGGAGTTTCCGGAGGAGACGGCGTCGATTCGAAATCTGGTGGTGGTGGAGTAGAAGCTTCCGGGAAAAGCGGTTGATGAAGAATTCTCCGATGAATCTCACTACTAAATCGATTCAAGTTCACGCCACCAACGGAAATCG